CTAATATAGTGCATTTATTTTGAAAATATTCATTATCATTTATTAATTCCTCATTTTGAATTTTCAGATCAATCCAAACATTTTCTGTATCATTTACAGGATTAACTAATGTAAAATTTTCCAAATTATTTATTGACTTCAACGTAGGCTCATTGTTTTGTTTAGATTCCTGTAATTCTTTTCGTTTTCTTCCACACCTAAGATATTTTTACAAGAAACTATGTCCGGTATTCAGAGTCGTTGCTTATTCTTAAGATCATCTTAAGCATTTGCTTAAGACCATGTTCCCTGTAGAATACAAGTACTGGAAATATGGGATAGACAGGGATAGCGAATTTTTAAGACGATCTTAAGAATAAGCAACGACTCTGAATACCGACCTATAATTTCGTTATATTTCACATATTTTCATAATTGAAAGTAATGTATACGATTTTACCTTGTAAAGTCATCATTGTTATGTAAATTCAGAGTTGGTATAACAGTTTTAAATAATAGAACAATATTTGTATCTCCTGGCACTATTAGATGCTCTAGCTTTCGCTGAAAACAATTTTCAGTGAAATAAACGGAACAGTTACGAGCTGTTCGAAATATTCAATATATTAATACATTGTTTATAAAGACATCTTTTATAAATTACTATGGAATTACTGAATAACTTATGTTATCATCTTTTAGGTTAATTCTTTTATTTCCACAAGCTTTTATCTAAACGTCAGCAATTGTGGCATCTACAGGAAATTTGTGCAATTTTATATCTTTATTCGTCGTGTTTCCACTCCTATTTCGACACGATTTCACTGAACACGATGGCATTTTTTCAATTTTCTGCTAACCGATATACAAATGTGATACAAATCTAAGCGCGTAAATCGCGTAAATGGCGCCAAATGGCGCGTAAAAGTTACGTCGCCATATTGCAAAATGGCTGAAAATGAGCTGCGCAGAGCGAGTCAAAAACGCGTCTGCCTAAAGCAGATCCATGGCCTAAAAAGTACGTGAGAAACGACTATTAATTCGGACCTTAAGCTAAATACACTAGAACGCAAAGGCAGTTTTTCTCCAAATGTAGCATGGCGCCACAATTCCTCAAGACCAACACTACTGCATTCTACGAATACATTTCGTTAATTTACACAGAATTGCGAGCTATTACGATATCAAACAGCCGAGATTTTCCTGTCTGAAAACAAAAAAACCTTTTCTTATTTCTTATTCGGTCGTAATCACAACTTCCATACTCGTTCGATTGAAAATGATCTATAGATCACCCGTTAAAAAATTGAGACGCAAAAGGCATAAAATAGCTTTTAATAAGTTCCCCTGCGCGATATCGATCACAAGAACTAGAAGTTATCGCGCGAAAAAAATATGTTTCACCGATTTCCATAGACGAGTCGATATATTTCGCTTTAATGAGAAATATTCTTTCTCCGTCAGCGTTCCCCCGATTGCGAAGGAGGCTTGAGCTCTCCTATCGTTAGAATTTCAGTTCAAGCAAATGGTATCTCACGGGTGGAGGTCGTTGCGTCGAATTTCACAAATCATGAATGAATTCTAAGTTCCGTCGCGCGTTTCTCATAAATCGGGGACGTTGTTAACGGCAGTAAGTCCTGCATCGATGGTTACCCACGTTTCGTGAATTTCCGCGGTCCCCGGCCACGGAAAATCGCTAATTTCTCACTACGGTTTGCTAGCATGTAAACAAACACTCGACTACGAAATGTTGTCAGACAATTTACACGCTTCTAATACACCCGGCTTTACCGTGAACCTGTCAATTACAATCGTTCACTTGTGTCGGAGGCAGTAATCGAGGAGACCAGCAGGCTTAAACACACTGTGAATCTGTCGAAAAACTAGATCGTTTCACCTATCCTCCCTGTAGCAACTGCTTTACATTAAATCCACAATTACCCGGTTGTGTTCTGTCGTAATCTTCGCTAGATCGTGTAGAGGCAAACTATCGGCTTGTTAAATGGCAAATAAAAACGCAAGATGCATCACCTACGTTTACCTCTATTGTCTACTAATAACGACATGTTGTGTGTACAAAAAGTGACATGAATTTAATCGAAATTCTTCTGCCCGTGGCATATGAAACATAATTTTCTCCTGTCTGTTGTACATGATAAAGTATCCAACGAATAGACTGTACAATGAATGAAGTAAGTGGAGGGAAGCAGGACATACCGAACACCTCCGGTTGTGACAGTTTGTCTGGGCAGTCCGCGGCTTCTCTGTCCACCATGCACCATCATCATCAATCATTGCAACAGGAGACGGTACCGGCGGTCACGCAGGTGATCGTTTCCTCACCTATGAAGCTCCAGCCACCGGTGTTAAGCTCTGCGCAAGCTATACCTGAACAGCCAGGTTTAATTGTACAGGTATCTAACTTTTTAATGTCACTGTAATTATGTGACAGGTTTTAATTGAAATTACTTATAGGGTACACCGCCAGGAGCGTTCCCTGAGCCTGAACTCTCGCCAGAGCTCCAGCAACAGGGGTGGAAAAAGTTCTGGAGTAAACGTGAAAATCGGCCGTACTTTTGGAATAAATTAACGGGAGAATCGTTGTGGGTAGTACCGCCTTTGAAACCCCAGGTACTAAGGTATAAAGTTTGGTAGTACAGTAATCTCCGGATATGTGGCCACCGATAGGGACCGACCTACACACTGCCGTATTTTTATGTTATCTCACAATGATAGAAATATAAATCAGTTAGTAGAAGTTGTGACGTAAACAGAAATTAGGACATTTGTCCTTACAGGATCATAAAATCAATATTTCTTTTTCTTAACACATTAAAGAAATTCAATTTACGGATCTCTAAACATTTTAAACGACTAAATTATTTAGCTTTTAGTTCAATTTTACGATAACATAGTTTTTTTAATAGAACGTCTTGCACATTCACGTTCAAGGATTTAAGGTGGCTCTTTTATGGCTATAAGTGCTACTTATATTTTTTGTTCATAGAGCTACAGTAATACTATTTAAATAATCTTTTAAACACTGTATGTTGTATAGGAGAATAATATATGTTGCCACATATGACGCGTATGCGCAGAAGCTGCAATTGAATATAATGAATTTTATTTTATATTCTTTCTTCTTAATTTTCTTTTCAATTCGTTCGGCAAGGCACTATTTTCTTGGTATTAAAATTTTCTTCGTTTAATAAACTATCCGTAA